CAGCTGTTCACGCCGAACGATCCATTGGAATTTGTCGCGATTGATATACTCGGAGAGCTAATCACCACAAGTCGGGGCAACCGGTACATTTTAGTGAGCAGCGACCGCTATTCGAAGTTGCTACGAACCCTACCGTTGAAGAAGATTTCCGCCGCGCACATTGCGCAGGCCTTTGTACACAACTGGGTTTTCAATTATGGACCCCCTGTGAAGCTGCTGTCCGACAATGATACGCAGTTCACAGCTAAGTACTTCCAGAATATTTGCCGAATTCTTGGCATCAGGAATGTCTTTACAACTACGTACCACCCGTGAGCCAACGGCCAAGTCGAGAGATTTAATCGGACTATATTATCCGCGCTACGGAAGTATATCGGAGACCATCCGAAGGATTGGGACTTGTTTAGCGACGCGGTGACGTTCGCCTACAACACACATGTTCATCGAACTACGAACATCGCCCCATTTGAGCTGGTTTTAGCTCGGGCACCGAGAAGCCTTGCGCTACAGACTCAACCTCATTTGGAACAATTTGGATCCCCGAGAGCTTATTATCTAAAATGGCAATCATGGTTGGAGAGTCTGATGAAGACCGCGGACAGGAGCGTACGCAAGGAACAGGCGAGATATAAGCCAAATTTCGATGCGAGACTTCGCAAGCCAAAGTACGACATACCCTTAGGGTCCTACATATTCCTTCGAAAGGAGCAAGGTATGGCTAAGAAACCTAAACACAAATCGGCACAAGTGGCCATGGGTCCGTATGCAGTCAAGCAGTCAGACAGGAATACGGTTGTCATTGCCATTGGTGATCAGGAGGAACGCGTTTCGCGAGATCGAGTAGAACTGGCCCCAAGTCCGATGGAACAAGCGCTCACATTAGGCCTACATCCGGCCCTACAGTACCTAAGCGGACACCTGACAGATCAAGGACGCGACACGATGGAGAGTGAGGACGACCCTCACGCGCGGGCGCGGACACAAGAGGTCGAGGAAAATTTAGTTAGTCGAAATCGGTCGGCGGAGATACCGCAAGACCTACGGAAGATAATTAATTCAGAAAACTTAGTGACATCGGAGGATCTTCAGGAGGGGGAAGTAAGTAACCCCGGACGCGAGGGAGAGGATAAGGACGCCGGGTATGTGATAGAGAAGATCATCGACCACGGGTATCAAGGTGAGGAATTAATTCTCAGATTGAAATGGTATGGATATGGAACGAAGGACGCGACGTGGGAAGCAGTTGCGCAAATACCGCGCAGCGCCGTAGTGAGATATTTCAGGAGGAAGAAGATACCGTTGCCGCTGCAAGTCGCTCGCGCACAAGCGGGGTAAAACCCGTCAGGATGTTGTCGAGTTGGAATTGGGTCCGTCAGACGCAGCGCGAAGACAAGGAAGAAGGGTGCTCACAAGGGTGGGGACCGCAGAAACTACGGAGATAGAGAGAAGAAGTGAGACAGGCAATTTTGCCTTGACCGCGGCACATGTAGAACGCAGCGAACGCCGCTTCGTCACGAAAATGGGGAAGTTGCCATAGTCTCGGGATGAGACAATGCGCAATTACGTATGATCACGCGTCGCAGCGGCGCGCACGCGAAGGGATGTTTGGACCAGGATTCCACACCCGTCTGTGTTAATTTGAAGAAAAATGTTTGTGAGGGTTTTCACGAGTGGAAAGAGGACAAGTGGTGCGCAAGCAGATGTGGGACACCGGAAGTGACGCGAAAATTTAATCCAAATCAACAAAGGAGAGGAGTTGGTGCAGATTTGTTGTCGCTGGCAACCACCGATGATACAAACACCGATGTCGATTTGCACCCCAAGCCCGGTCACCCGGGCAGGACGCTAACTACGCCCAACGAACCGACGGGCTAACGCTCGTCGGGCGGGGAAGAAATATTGTCGACGACAGGCCTGTAGTTGTGAGGATGGACGCTCGACGAAGTCATAGTCGCCGCTCTGTCATCACCGATCCACGCCGCTTCTCCCCTTGTTTAACTGTGGGAGAGCGACTCACACCCCCCCATTTCATAACGAATCGTCTTTTACTTTCTAGGGTGTTTCGCCCCCTTTGTTTCTATTTTGTTCTCCCTCGTTTTATTTTTTATGAGAAGACAGGAACACAGCCCCGCATCGCGGACACCGATCCGCAAGTTACCCGCCGAGAATTGGAAGGCCGAGAGTGGAGCGAGGCCGTGACCGTCGGACCGTCAGTAGCATGAGCCGCCTGGGAAAGTGCGCGATCTAACGCGCGCAACTATACTGTACGGAGTGGACAAATAGTTTTGTCGTTCTTGTCGACTTCGTCAGGAACGAGAGTCTACCCGAGGTCCTCATCGAGGGAATCAAGTGTTTATCTTCCAGCCGTTTCTACTTCATTCCCTGTTTTGTTTTTGTTGATATTTCTTCTAGGTTGTGATGTCGACGACACGACGCAGCGAGGCGCATCCCCAATCGCAACTCTACAAGGATAAGCGAAGACTGAGGGGGAAGTGAGGGGGAAGTTACTCGGGAGGAGAAGAGAAAAAAGGGGAGTGACAACCACCTGAGAACAACTCCTTTGGAGGAAATCGTTACTCGACGAGCTAATTGACGACGACACATCTGTTGCTTGTAGCCTCAGACGACCCAAGCTCACGTTTTCGTTTTTACCCCGAGCGATCTATCGACAAGGAAATCCCCTCCTTCCCTTTGTCTTTCATATTTACTCCACCGACCCCACTTTATATTTTGCTATATCCCTCTATATTTCTTGGTTTTTCTCCTTTGCCTATTTGATTTGCTTTTCTGCAAAATCGAAACGCCTGCACCGCCGGCGAGTGCGAAACGGGGGCATCCGCGAGTGGCGATGTCAAAAAGATATGGAAGGGCTTTGCCGTGATACCACGCTGAGGTCTTACGTGAGGTAGGAATGACCACGCGTCGCCAAACGCACGTCAAATTACGTTGCATCGGCGATCCGCCCTCATCATATTGGGAGTTAATGAAGAAAAATCAAGGGTATTGCACCTCGAAGAGAGACATCCGGACAAGTGCTGCGTAGCCAACGACGAGCGCAGAGCCTCACTGGGGAATTTGAATCAAACTTAAGGAACACGAGTACTGACGGGCGCACGGGAGGTTGAATAATTTTTAGAAATGGGCAAGTCACACGCCTAAGTGCCGCCACCGAAGTCATGCAGCACCGAAGATGTTGACTTCAGGAGCTTTCAGGGAAGTACAGACAAGCTAGTCGCGAAGTTACTGCGTCGTCGTCACCTTTTTTTGAGACCGGAGGAGTGTACGGGCAAGTTGGAAGCGCCTTGCAGGCATTAAATTCGGCGTGCGTCGCACGAAGACCAAGGGAAATAACGTTGAAGGGAATTCCCCGTGTGGCAAGGGGATCAACGAGAACATACCATGGAAATCGAAGCTTCGTTGAAGTTACGCACTCTACCTCGAGGAGAGGCGACGTCAACCCGTAAAGGCCAAAGTGGCGATCGCAGCTATCTTGTTACACCGTTTTCGACGGGTGAAACACATCGCCACCGGCAACCCCCGCAGTGATTAAAGTCCACACCCAACGCGCCTCGCACAGGGACACACGACTACATTACAAGCAAGACCAGGGAAAACACTACCGATATTGGGACGTCTCTCTTTTTTGTTAATTTTCTTGTAGTTCACGAGGAATCGTCAGACGCAAGCACCGATACGCGACTACGACGTTTCTCTCTGTTCGGGATACGCCGTCCCCACAGGCACATATCTTTCCTATTTTGTTTCCTGTTCTTTTCGCGAGTCTCAACACCGTGGTGCATCTATTTTCTTTGGCGGACCGCTCTCCGAAAGAAAGAGGACCCATCGAGTCCCTCGACAGTATTACTGTCTCTAACAGCTCTAAGGATGAGAAGCATGGATGCTCGTCGAGCAAAAGTGACAAGGCGATGGAAATGGTTGGAAAATTAATGATTGTTAACACGGACGACGTCGCGCATGGGCAAAAGAATGAACCAGCTCGTTCTTTCTCGGACCCGAGGAATGGATGGGACGCTCACGAGGAAAAGGATGCCGCCAGAAGCGGACGCTAACGACACGAGAAGTCGGGATCGGCTCCCCGAATCCCAAACTGAAACGGATGTACAGCAGAGAAATCCCTCACGACTTTTAAACCCCTCATCCGTCACACTAGCAACGCCTCGCGATCCGCACTCATCACCCATTGATGATGTCGCCTACTTTGTTTTCTTTTTCCAGAAAAATACCATGCGGGGAATTGTTAGCGGAGACAACGAGGAAACTGTGTGTGTGGAGGGATCAGGTAAGAAAGAGAATGTAGAAGTAATGTCGCTGCGCTTGGGGATGCTCGGACCGCACACAACAGAAGTACAAAATAAAGAAGAAAAAATGGAAATATGAGGATCAAAGTCATGAGTCTCTTGACTTAGAGGATATTGCACATGAAGATTGTGTATAGACGTCGATGACGTCAGAAAAGGGACTGATCGGGATCATTCACCAGTCTGGAAACCGCAAAGGGAGGTATTCACGCACTAGAGAGCTGGTACATTCTCTCGCTGAGGTGCGGAGGTAGGCATCGAGAAGGCCTGAAGGCCAGGAAGAACGGGAGCCCTTCTGTAGGCACCGAGAGGCCAGTAAACGAAGGAATGTTAATGATCGCATCACCTCTGGTCGGCGGCCTCTTGCGGATGAGCAAAGTAAGAGAGAGGGTAATAGGTGATGTGCGACTGCAGTAGCAGGGACCCACTGAACAAGCAAAAGAGGAGGAAAGGAAGTGATGAGGAAGATGCGACCGCGGCGACGGGGCGCAGAAGGAAAAGGAAAGGAAAAGAGGAGGAGGTCTGTACTGCAGGTTATAGAGGAGGAAGTCCGTGGTGACGGGGCGCATGAGAAAAGAGGAGAAAATTTGAAGGATGAAGGAGTACTCAGGAGGGTTTCATTTATTTTTCCAAGGGATGAGGGTGACGTTGCGAACAGCGCCACTCCGACGAGGTACCACCTCATGAGCTGGAGGTCGAGGGCAAATTACGGAGGCGACTCACGGAAGGATTTACCTTCCGGAGGAAATGTGAGTAGTCGAGCGAGGATCCTGAGGTCCTCCAACGAAACCTCTTTGATGGGTTCCGTCGCCACGCCATGAGCGCGCAGGACGGAAGCGCACACATCTGAAGTAGGGCAAGATTTTTTGGAATTTTTGAGTGAAGGAGAAGTCGCCTCACGCGACGCGGGTTTGAGGTCACGTGTTGGAGAGAGGAGGAGAGGGGTTGGTTCCCCTCGGCTTTTGGGAATTGCACGGACAAACAGGCTCTCAGTGGCCTCTGTCCTTGGAGATCTGACCTCCAACGAGGACGCCAGGGGGAGAGCTCGTGCACGGGAGAGATGGCGGAGGATGGACAAGCTGGGACCTCAAGTGAATTGACGGCACAGCTGGTGAGACCGGCTGGACAATGGAGGTTGAGGGAGCCGCGAGTAGCTACAGGAGGCGTAGCGGCAGTGACGCGAGAACGCGGAGATGAAGGTCGTGATGGCCTTGTGCAGATATTGGAGACTCGGGGGTCTGTGGGTATAACTAGTTCGGTGACGGGGAGGGGAATTTGATTCCCAAATCGGCGGCTCAGCTGAGCCTTCGCCGCTGAAGACAGGGATCCTGACCACGGGTTGAACCAGGCTAAATCGCCTGCTGCACAGCGAGTCCGTCCGGGGGAGAATGATAGACGTTGGTGCGTGACGGAGCGGGAAGAATTTTGACGCGGAATCGCGTCCCAGTTCACGCTCTCTATTTTGTCGAGCAGCAAATGGACTTCGCTATCAACATCCGCACCGCCCAGAGGGACTGTGAAATCGAGCAATTTCATGCGTTCGATTAGTTTAGGAGGCAGAAACCAAAGACGCCAGCAGTCATAGGTTTCCCAGAGTAATGTCGCTGACACTTTACCACACCATTCGGTGAGGAATACGACCCAAAGCCCGTGCCGCGGATCGCAAAGATAACTTCCGTAATAAGTGAGCACTGGACCAAGCTCTGCCCAAAAACCCTGACACACTTCGAACTGTCCCCACTAGGAAGGGATTTTTTGATAACGATTTGTGTAATGGTCTCGCGCAATTTCTCGCGCCTCTAGCATGTGGTATGATACGAAGTAGCCGGTGTCCGAACGGAGACGACGCCCCGCTCATACAGTAAGTTGGAAGAAGGGAAGGTTCCCGCGTTTGAGATGACGGAAATTTTCCGGAATGATGGCTCGCGTCCAGAACATGGCTTCGTCGGTGGCAGTCCGTTGGTTATACCAAAGGAGATTTGCCTCTCTTACGGAATCCCCGGCGGTCCATTTGATCATGCTCTAAGTAAGATCACTCTACTTCCGTACGGTACTGCCAGGTGTCACAAAAATAACTGGCAGGTATGAGACCGTCGGTCAGTTGTAATTCGAGGCGATCGTAGACCGCGGACATAAACCGCGCGGAGAGTACATGACGACCATGAGGGGAGTAGCGGCGCAAAATAAAAGGAGGAACCGCGATGCGGGCTCGCCAATCGTAGGAATGGATGGCCACAAGGGGGAGGTTACCGGGTAATATACCAGCGCCGTCGGCAAATTTATTTATACCAGGGCCGTCAGCAAATTTATCTTCGATATTCATAGTGTCGCGAACGCCAAGATCGCAGAACCAAGGATCAGCCGCGAACAAGAGGGGATGCGCACGCATGGATTTGTCGTGTAGTTCTGCGAGGGAGGAGTAGCGACGAGGAGAAGGAGTGATTTGGGGAGTGGGTTGGAAAATCGTTTGTGAAGGAGGATCATAAGGGGGAAGTCGAGGGATGGAAAGAAACCGACGGGAAGCCCGAGACTAGGCAGCGAAGCCAACACCCAGGCGTTTGCGGATGATAGTCTCGCTCGCTCGCCTCGGCGATACAGGAGGTGTGGGTTTCGTCTTTTCCTTGCCCATGGTGACCGTCGGTCAGGAGAAAGCTGAAAAAGAGTCGAGATGGAAAATGCAGCTGGAGATCAAGGAGCGAAGCACATGTGCAAGGACGCTCAGAATGGGGATATGTAGTGCAATAAGGGGTTGCACAAGGGGGTGAAGGGAAAAGAAACTAAGTTGGAATGTGAATAATGTAGTCCGGGATTGGGGGACACACGTGTGAATATTTGCACAGTTTTCATTTTAATTATTATTTTTTTAGTGAATTAGTTAGCATTAATTTTGCTGACATTAGATTAGATCTAGGATCTAGCGTCGCGGGCTACTGTAATGGCTCCGGCAGGGCGATATATACCTTAGCCCACTGACCACCAAGTCAGTAAAGGTAACCCGAGTTGCCGGAGTTGAATGTCGCCTTGGTCGAAGTCCGTCTCTACCAAGACGCTCCCTTTTATCTAAGCCTACGGCATCCTTCAGCGCTCGGGGTCCCCTTTCTTTTTCCTTCATTTCTCTATCCTAATTTCCCTTAATCTTGAGTTGGTCCCACCTTGTAGTATTGCGATCCGCAACGTGACGTCATTAGCCATCGGGCTTCTGTGTTGGTGCACCAGTGGTGCTTTTCTCAGAGTTGGTTCCATCGGAATCTGGTCGCGACCGATCCGGTGTTGGTACTTTTCTATCTGGTAATACGAAGGTATAGCGCTGCTATTGTTGTCCGTTCCGTCGGAGGCTGTTGCGACGACGCCTTCGACGAAGATCTTATCTCCTATATAAGATAGCGTTGGTTCTATCGGAATCTGGTTGCCATCGATTCGGCGTTGGTACTTTGCCATCGGGCGGTACGACGGTGTAGCGCTGCTACGTTTTATTCTTTCCCGACGGGATAAGTTGCGACGTCCCCGTCGAAGACCTTATCAAGGGTAGAAGGTATGAAGGCGCTCCACGAGCATTGGATTTACGACCCAGCGGGTTCGGTTTGCCTAGACACCCGCACTCGTCGAGCATTTGCCTTTTCAAGTCTCTACCACACCTATAATCCCGGGCCGGGCGTTTCTTCCTTTGCCACCCGTTTTTGGGATTCGAGCAACCGCGGGCCGAAAGCCCGCATAAAGGGAAAGGGAGCTCCGACCACTCCGTGGCATTGCGCCGGCGGCGGCTTTGGTTGTTTCGTTTGTTCGTTTGTTTTCCGACCGTGAGGGTCTTCGGCCTTGCCCACTGCCTACCAGGCGCATTGCACCACAGCGACCTTTTCGCATGAACAGTCCTCTCGAGATGAGTCCCGCCGGTCATAAGGAGCCCTCTGGACGCCATCCTCAATTCTTTCTGCGTGAGTGGCAAAGTAGAATTGATTATCGCATGTGCATTGTCTACACCAACCATCCCGGTCGTTGAGGAGTAGGAAATGAATCTCATCCACTTCAAAGGAGGGCGTTTTGCCGTCTTCATCTGTGCATGATTTGAAAAGGTTAACCCATCTCGTGAAGTTCATTGCAAAGCAAAAGATAATTTCATGCCCGCCGACTTCAAGCATATCTTTGACACATTCCAGAAAACGATTGCTTTGTTCTCCTAATAATATCGGACCATATGATCGCGACATCCACGCCGATTTCAGTGACAATGGCTTCGTCAAAAGTAGCTTCGACGATTCCGATAGTGAGAAATCGAATGATTCATGAGTGATGCGGTCTTTCTCTTCCAATAACCACTCGAAGTTACAGCAGTGAGCCCGAAACAATTCTCTTTCGCAATACCCTTTCAACCTCTTCCAAGCTTTTGCACATTCGCAACACGTTTTTCATGCCTCAGTGTCGGGGTTTCAAGTTCTGCTACCTTCTTGCTCGGAAGAATTCTCCTCTTGCGCAATTTCTACTATGAAGTCCTCATTACACCTTTGACTCATTCTGTCCGTTTCCACAGCTGAAGATGGATGAATGAGTAGTTGGAAACGAGCCATAATGGCAGGAGGCGGACTGGCGAAACGAAAATGGAGTGATACATCACTCGGCACCTCAAGTCCGTTTGATTCATTCCACACTATCAAGGAAGAATCAAACAAAGTATCGTCATGCATCGAATCATGTTCATCCTGGACCAACATCACTGCGAGAGAGCGCAAAATTTTGTCCATATCGTCCCTACTGCTCTGAGTTGCGAGAAGTTGTCCGTAAATACCGCTAGCAGGAGTTCTGAAAGTATTTCTGTGAGAGGCTGGTGGGTGTAGCATAAACCCCCGGTCGCGGTGGGGGTTTAGCTAGGTTCGCGTAAGACCTGTGCTAACGCGAGAGAGAGAAAAACACACAAACACTAGAACGAACGGGGGCGGTGGTAGCGTGGTAGAGCGGTGGGGAGCGGTCGCGGACGCGTACACGTTAGAGCGGATCGACGCGCTCAACGCCCCGAGGCGGCGCTAGTTAACGTTCTGGCGCCGACGGGCGGAGGCGGATCCGGCTCGCTCGCGTACGTATCGCGACCACTACCCGCGTTAGTTCTTGGTTAACGCGCTCGCGTTAAGGGAACGCGTTTAGAATAAGCGGACGGGGTTAGACCTGCGGTCGAGGATCTGGTTCGAAGCCCGTGCTTGTCTTGTTCCTCCCTTCCCCGCCGGTCGCCCTGTCATTTAATATACAAGTAAGTAATCTATCATAACATACTACAGTATCTATCTAGTGGCTTACACGGTAAGCTCGCGCGCCTTACTCCGGATCGCCCCGCTGTACACGGGCACAGCGAGCAGTAAGCGCGTACTTACAGCCGCGCGCGCACGCGCTGTAAAACGTGTCATTGGTGTACAGTAGCCGCCCCCAGCAGTAAATAGTCACCTTCGCGATTACGCTACATAGCCCCCCCTTAGGCGTGAACGTCCGCGTTCACTCTTCCGAGAGTGGGGGGGTTATGTTTCGCATCCCCTATGCGATCGATGTCCGTTATATCGAGCCTCGGTGCTGGCCTGCCTTGCGCATCTCTTAACGCGCCTCTACGCAGCGTCCGCTGGCGCGACCCTGTCTTCCCCACGCCAGCTTCAACCCTGTCAAGAGCGGGTCGCTTCCATTTCGTTCTGAGAGCGGGATTTCCTTCCTTTTTGCTCTTCCCTGCTTAAAACTCAGCTGCGTATCTTGTTTCCGATTCATCGGGACGTCGTCCCCCTTCCTTCCCGATGTTTCCATTTTAAGCCACCGCGCGTATGCTGTCTGAGGCAGTCTCCAGTCCGGCCCTGTAGGTCTTTGTTCCATGGCTGCGGGGTGACTGTCTTCACGGTCCCCTACGCGGCCGTTCTCGTTTCCTCTTCAGAATAACGTCCCTCTAGGCTTTCTTACTCTCGTTCCTAAACCCGCGGGTGCACTATCACCTTGGTCATGGCGTCGCCCGTGATTTTCGGGTATGTGGCCTTCCGCGCTGGGTTCCTTTTCGCGGTCCCCGGACGTCCACAGAGAAATGGGGTGTATGTGAAGGGTCATGACGGCAGTGTCGGCGCCGACAGCGAGGGGGCTGGACGTCGAGGGTGGCGACAGCGTGTCCGTTCGTGCGGCGGTTGTCCCTTCAACACTACTCGCTTCCTCGTCGTCCCTCTCGACGGCAACCGACTTCTCGCTGGGTATCGCCCTTATCGCGTTACCGTTTTCCTTCTATATAGCCTCTCTACGCGGTCAGAGGGCGCCCATGCCGTCCTCTCCTGGCCTGCCCGCACCGCATGCAGGTACGCGAAAGGCGATACGTCTTTGTGGAAGCTCTGGGTCCCGTACGGTAGGGGGAGCGTAGCGTTGACAAGATCGTTTTGTACAATTCTCGTGCGTTCAGCGGTCCACTCGTCGTCGCTCATTCCAGTACCCACGCGTGCGGTAGTGGAGGCTGTCCTCGGGTCAATTCTCGGTTGCAGTCCTCATCTGCATAATCGACTTCGGAGTCCGGGGCTTCGAGCTCTCGAAGCTGG